TGTAATAACATTTGAAATGAGCACTTAATTTTTAATAAATAAATAAATTATTAAAAATAATTATATAATTCTAAATTTTAATGAGATAATTTTTTTATAAAAATTAAAATCAAAATTTATTCATCTTAAAAATATATGTAAGTCAATTTTGATATTATTATTATTTTTTCATCTCATAACTTAAGAATATATATATATTATTTTATTTCTTTTGACATTTTATTCAACAAAGCATGTGGAGCTTCTCCCTTCTCAATCCAAACAACTTAATAAATATTTATCCGTTTTCACCCATCCTCTCTTATTTTTTTACTGTTTTTATGTCTTACCTCATTCTTCTCTTTTTCTCTTTATCGAAACAAGGAAAAATCTCATCACATTTGCAGAGATAATTTTTCGTGGAGGCCCCACCAAACCCATATTTCTTTTTTCACTTTCCAAACGACCAACCCCTTCATTTCCTACTAGAGTTTGTTTTATTACATGCAGGTTTTTCTACAAATTTTTTATAAAATTTTGCAGAAAATACATTTTTTTTTGCAAATTTTTCTATGGATTAAAATCTTCAAATAATTCATTCGTAGATAATAAGTTCCAACCGATATTAAATTTGTTTTACAAATTTATCCGCAAGAAATTTTCCTTAAAAAAAAATTCACAATAAAATCCATAGTTAATTTCTTGTGAGTTATAAATTTGCAAGAAATTTTTCTACCAAATTTGACTTTTTTTTTTGCAGATATATTTTCTACAATTTTTTAAAAATAATTATTTTTAAAAAATAAATTTAGAATTTGTAAAATATTCATATAAATTCATTCATTCATTTATTCTGTGATATCAAGAAGTTCTTAATTTATAAAATGTTTATTAAATTATAAGTAAGTTGTTATATATAATAGTTATTATAAATTTACGATATAAGTTTTATACTAATTTCAAATTTTATTATTGTACTATAGTTTTATATATTATTTGTCTAAGGGTGACTTTTTTTTTTTTGTAAAGATGGAAAAAATTACAAAAATAATTATAATAAGGATTGAACTTAAGTTCTCATGTTTCTAACTACTCTAATCGTTCCTCACCTAATCACTAGACTAACCCTAGTAGTCTTTCTTAATTCTTACTTTTAATGTTTCTTAATTAAATTTAATAAATAAATATAGAATCATACCAAAAAAAAATAAATTATTCAACAAGTGATATTTTCTGTAAAGTCATTTGTCATTAATTTGTTCGAATTTCATACCTTTAACTGGTGCATAAGACACCATGTATCAACTACACAAGATTCTCTACCTAGAAGTATCTATACTTATTATAAAGTTAGATAAGTTTTAGTAACCAACCTCTATATCTAATTTTTCATTCAACACTATTAGAAGCATAAACATTATTATTATTATTATTATTATTATTATTATTATTATTATTATTATTATTATTATAATAGTAAACACTTGATACACACCATAGATTAAAAAGGTTCAAATTAATGGAGAAAAAGCGATAACAAGCTTTATTGGAGAGAAAATTAGTAGCCACGCACCACCATGAAAATCAAATAGTCCTTAACGACCATTACTATAAAAAATAAAATTATATATATATATATATATATATATGTTTAACAGTTATAATATACGTGGATACATATTTATTTGATATATAACTACACAATTTAAGTATTGATTTTTAATATGATTTAATAACATATTTTGTATATCACTATAACTTATACTAACATTTTTTAACAATATACCAAAATGTATTATATTTAATGTTTAGATAAAAATACTTTTTAGTAACACGTAATATATTATCACTATAAGACGTGTGTCACTTTATAACAATTTTTAACAATTTTCTTGTATTGTGATGTTTCAAATTATTCCTTTGTTGCATTAATAATAATTTAGCCCATTAATCAACTTATCCTTGTAGATGAAGTGACCATAAACACTACTAAATTAAATTAACCTGCACGTGCACCACATATTTATCAATTACGAATAAAAAAATCAAAACACTGATCAACTAAAATATAAGAAATTCAATAGGAAACTTGAACACCGATTTAATATTGTTGAATCTTCATACAAATACGAAAACTAAATATTGATGATTGGATCCCTTGCTAATCTCAGTTCTAAAAACAACAGGCATGTTGTTTTTGTTTCTCACCAAAAGTTGGTCGGTTCCAACCAACATTTTCAAATATCAGATTCAATAACTTTTAGAGAGAATATGATTGCAAGGAATCCATATCCAGTAACTTTTATTAAAATGTGTACAAATTGACAATTACGCACAACTATAGGCTATCACCATCGTCATTGAAAGGAAAAACAATTTACCTCTTCATTTAATTGGCTAGTATGATTTTTCATGATGGATGCATGACAATAAGGAAGAATGGATTACAAGGTTTGAAAGAACTTGTATTAACAGCCGTAACTTGGCTAACAATAATAGCCTTTGGTTTTTCTGCAAAATTACAACTCCATGTAAGATAGACGTTTGCGATCAACTTTCAGGCCACTAAAAATCGAAAACTACATAGTGTTTTCAATTTCCATGGTTTACTAGACATGCATGAGGTGCAAGTCATAAAAATTTGAAAATATCAATTGATAGAAGTCAATTAATTAAGGACCATGGAAGCTAACAATCTATATATGTTAAATTGTGAATGTTTTTTAATTTTATCAAAGTTGAACATATACCAAATCTTATACCTTTTTAATTTGTGTTGGTATGATGCAAAGCCTCCTTCAACAATATATCACTCTAAATTTGAAATTACTTTACTGTTTTGATTAAAAAGTAGGTCCAAAGACCTAATAAGAGAACAAGGTAAGTTAGACACAACTCAATATGCAAACTTGAGCACTTAAGGCTCAATATAGATTGAATATCTAGTAACAAACAAGCTTTACTTCTTATTTATATAGTTATTTCTCGAGCTGTAATTTTTTTTTTTGTGATTCATTATTCTAAAATACACATTGATAACAGAAAAATGCATTATCTCAAAATACAAATAAACTAAAAGTACAATAATAAAATAAAATTAAACGTGTCTAAAACATAGCTTCTATTGTTTTTGAATCAAAGCACAACAACACTTATGCACTCAACTTCGTTTCTCAAGCATTTCATTAAACTCTTACATGTATGGGAAATTTAAGAATAATAGAAAACTAAAATTGCACGCAATGAAGTTCAAGTTCAAGACATTCCAAGTCAATAGGAAATAATTGGATTCCTTGACACACCATCGTGTGGAGAAAACATCGGAAAATTAAGAACAATCAATTTGAAAGCCTAGGAAGCTTTGTCAACTTAGAAAGCAATATTCACTACACCAAAACTAGTTTTTTGTGGCAATTAACTTATTATTTAGCGGCCATATAAATGACCATAATTTTTTTACCAGCATTTAATTAATGGCTGGTGTATCCAGTGTCGCTAATACTATTACCGGCATTTATATAAAATGCCGGTAAAGATCTACTAAATTGTCGGAAAAACTTATTTTTTTTGTGGCAATTCTAGTAGCCATTTTAAAGGCTATTAAAAGTTATTTTTTTCAATTGTCTCCTTTACTTTAAATAATTTATTCCTATAATTTCATTTTCTAAATTCATAACTTATATACTTTTTTATCTCTACTCGATATGAGATTTGTAAGATGAGAGTTGTCTTTTATTTATATATTTTTTAATTTATTTTTTAATTATGTTGTCTTTTAAGCGATGTGAGATTTATAAGGTCAAAGTTGGTCTCTAATTGTTTTATAGCACTATTGAAGTTGGTAACAATGAGTGATTTGATACCAATTTAGAATAGTGAATTAGAAGTCAACCCTATAAAATGAACCTGTAAGGTGATAGTTATTACTCACTTATATACTATTTAATTATCTTATCTCTAATCAATGTGGGACTTAAGTTTTTTCTAAATAATTGTCGCTAATAGTAAACTTTAGTGTAATATAAATATATTTTTAGTGGCTATTATATATTAGCCATTAATATTTTTACATATGGTGGCAATTAAATTATTGCCATTAAATAATTGTCATTAAAAATAAATTTTGTTGTAGTGATTTTAATATGCAAATATTATTATCGTTGAGAGAGAAGGGAAAAATATTGCAATAATGGAGGCAAAACCTACATAAATTACTATAAGAAAGGTAATTTACTAGAGAGTAGAAACAGAGGAGAGAAAAGTGATCGCAGAAATTGTTAGGACAAAGAGAATGAGTGGGAAGAAAATGAGCCCATATATATAAGTTTAGGTTTAGAGGAAAATCAAGCACCCATTACAAATAGAATTTGTGTATTACAAACTTGTGATTTCATGTTGAAAAATTAAGAAAACAAAAACAACAACAAAAATTGGTTTCAGATGAGCTATTAATTTATTGACAGTAAAAGTTTGTATCAAATTTTAAATAATTTTTTTTCTGCAGATTAAACTTCATAAATTTTTTTGCAGGAAATTATACTTATGGAATTTTCTCCCATTTAGTAAAATAGAATATTACCTACAGAATTTTCTTCCATTCATTACCTGTCAAATTATATTCGCAACTAAATTAGCAGCAAAAAAAAAAAATCTTGCAACATCATCTTAGATTTTATTATCTGCAAAAATAAAATTCTAAAATTAACATAGATGCAAAAACAATCGTAAAAAGTTCATGCGTGTTAATTTTTGTAAAAATATTCACTGAAATTTCTTACGAGTTTTTATCCTTAAAAAAAATCTGCAAAAATTTCTTGCAAATTTATTTTTTGCAGAAAATTTATCGAAAAAAAAGAAGTATATTTCTAGTAGTACGTTTCGCTTGATTTTTTTCTCCACACTTAATAATAATAATAATAATAATCTTAAACAAAGAAGCCCTAAAGTAAAATTAGGGGAGCGCTCAAAAACTAGCGTACAGTTCACAAACCCCTTCAAGCTAGGGTTCTTGTCTATTTAAAGAAGCAAAGGCTCCAAAGTAAGTTGTGAGTTGTGAGTTGTGAGTTGTGATTTGTGAGGAGAATATGAAGGTGCTAGTTTTGTTTGTTGCTACGGTCCTAGCTGCATCATGGCAATGCCATGGAACAATGTACCAAACTTTCCCTCTCCAAATGAAAACCGGGTCTGACTCTGACGTGGATGTATCTTGTGCCAGTTGGAGGCTTGGTGTGGAAGCACACAACCTCATCAACTGGCAAACCGTTCCTCTTAAGTGCCAAGAATACATAGCCAGTTACCTTCTTGATGGCCAGTATAGATCAGACTCCAAAACCGTTTGTCGTGAAGCTTACTTCTACGCCAAAAAACTTAACTTAACTAACAGAGATATTTTCATTTTCGACGTCGATGAGACCCTACTCTCTAACCTCCCTTATTTTGCTAACCATGGATTCGGGTACGTTCCTTCTCTTTCTTAACTTATTTTCAACGTTTCTTCTTTTTGGTTTTTTAGTGTAACCATTTTCTCGTCATCTTAGGGTGGAACCACATAACAAGACAGCGTTTAGTAAATGGGTTGCCTCCGGTGAAGCATTTGCACTTCCCGAGACCCTTAAACTCTACAACAAGATCTTGTCTCTTGGCATCAAGGTTGTTTTCTTATCAGAAAGAAGACTGGATCAAAAGGATGTTCTGGTTAAGAACTTGAAGGATGCTGGGTACCCCACATGGGAAAAGTTAATTGTCAGGTGACTTTTCCTTTTCTGGCTATAAAATTTTCTTCCCATTTTAAGTCTAAAGGTGTTTAAGTCATTAATCAGTTAAGTTATTTTATACACAACTTTTTAAGTAATTATTATTAAGTCTAAACAAATGGCTTATGATTGCAGGGATCCAGCTTCCTTTGGTGGTGATGATACATTTGAATACAAATCAGCTGAGAGGGTGAAGTTGGTGGGAAGTGGATACAGAATCATTGGGAACATTGGAGACCAATGGAGTGATATTGTGGGAAGATACAAAGGCTTTAGGACCTTTAAGTTGCCAAATCCCTTGTACTACAGTTGAGCTTTTCAGGCTCTCTAGCTCCTATCTAAGGAATAAGATACATTATGTGGTAAAATAGGAGCACTAGCTAGCTATGTACTATGTCACTCTATGTTGTCTTGTTTTGGGGTGTGAAATTTGGGTCGTGTAAGAGACTGCACATCGTTGCTTTCTTTTTGCGTGGTTTGGTAAGTTATGAGCCCTCGTTCCATTTACAAATTGCCCGTTTCATGTTTTCATTTTTTAAGTAAAAGTAGTTTGTTATTATTATAAAGTATATAAGTCTTAATTAAAAATGTAAAACTAAAAGTTATTAAGTCATTTTTAAGACGTGCCATAAAATGGATGGCTGTGAAATTTTAAGATTATTCGTAAACCTGTCCAACGGTAAATAGTTACATGGTTTAAGACTTATATATGTGGCTATGATTTCAGTCGGTTATTATAAATATATATCTAAGTTTTTTAGTTTATGAAAAACATTAAATAACAATTAATTATATGTCACGATAAATAATAAAGTATTTTAATTTATGAAGAAAATGTAGAACTGATTATATGTTGTATAAAATCAACATATCCTTGAAAAAATTCATGAGCTAATAATAATACGCAAGGAGTATAAGATAAAAGGACATCGTAAAAGAAAAACAAAAATCTAAGGTTAGCCATTGGGCCTGTAGATGGGTTAATGGGCCTGTTCACTAGTACTGTATTAGTTCAATGAGAGTTGAAAAACATATAGAAAGAGTAAGACAGCAGAGGAAATAAATAGATCAGATGAAAACAGTAAAGGGAGAAATTAATAGGGATTCTAAGTTGTTTGATTCGATAGAAATTGAAAAGAAATAAAATAAGCTGTTGGGTTCGTGTAAAAAAAGGAGAAATTAGGTTAAAAAAAGTATTTTTCTCTTGCATATAAAAACGATCGAATAGCATGATACAATTGATTATGGAAACAAAACAGAACAAAATACATTATTAAGCCAATTTAACCTATAGTTGTAACTTATGTGAGGGACAAACGATTAAATCAGCGATGACACTGCAATGAAAACGTATTTTTGATTCGTACACACATGAGGGTGCATCTTTATCCTCTTTTGCTTGCAAATTGGAGAAGTAGGGCAAACCAGAGTCATATCAGCATTTCTTTATTTTACACAACTTCAAAGAATTTTCGTGTGATTTTTATTCCTCTCCTCACAATTTCATCTTAACCAAACAATTTTTAAATTGTGGGAAAACCTGACAATTTCATCTTAATCTGTCACTAATTATGCTATTAGTGATTATAGGAGACTAAAATAATATTTTAAAAATATAGGAACTAAAGTGATAAATTTTAAATTTGAGGGATTAAAATGATAATTTTTATATTTTGAACACTAAAAACATGTTTTAAGTTTAAGGGACCAAAATAATATATACATGGATTAAAACAATATTATTTTAAAATTACAGGACTAAAAATATAAATTTTAAATTTGGGGACAAAAACATAATTATTCTAAATTTAGAGAACTAAAAATATAATTAAGTCTTATATTAAATTAAAATGTAATGTTAACCTCCATATAATTTAATTAAAAGTAATTTAAGTTTAAATAAATATCTTAATTTTTATACATTTAATTTTAAACATGTGGTTTATAATAAATAAATCTCTAATATAAAATGACCACAATACCTGTCAATTTAAAATTAAATTTCAATTCCAATATATAAATCCCATAATATGGCAAGCCCTTTTAGACACAAGGATATTTTCTTTTTAAAGTTTTATAAATTTAGCAGATTATCTTACTAGATTGTTAAAATTCACAATATTATTTTTAATAATAAACTAGTTTAATTTAAATTGAAAAAGGGAAAGAAAATTCTTCAATATCACAAATCAATTAGTGAGATGAACATACTAATATAATTTTTATTTTACAAACATGTTTTTATAGAATTGTGTTAAACTAAACTCACATTCTAATATATTATTATAACATATCCTAATAAATTATTGTGCTTATCCTATTGAGTTATTAATTATGGACCGTTTATTATTGAACTTTTACTCAACCATCTATATATATAGTTTTACAAACTTCACTATTTAATTACTTAGGCCGAAACCACTTAGGATGAAATTTATTTTAAAGGGACAAGTGGTGTAAGAAGGGCATCCATATAGTTTATTATCCGAGACACGAAAGAGAAAACCACTACCTGCCTTATATTATGTCTCACGTACAGTACCCCAACAACACACTTCATACATGATATATACATGCATAGCTAGGTGGTGCATGGCATGCTCCTATATATTTGAGTTATTTAATATATTTATATAGGAGTAAGCTATGCATGTTAAGGTAGATGAAGGTGATCAAGCAATGAAGTACATTGGGTTAGGCAACTTAAAGGTCCTGAGGCCAACGTTGCGTCCGGTTATATCACTCCACTGGTCTCCAATGTTACCAACGATTCTCCATCCCTCCTTAGTCAGCTTCTTCCTCTCAGCTGCTTTGTATGAAGCTGCGTTCTGACCATTGTATGCAATTGGATCCCTACAATAATATATACGTCCAACATCAATATATAAATTATATATAGCTAGAAAATAATAATAATAATAATAATAATGATCAAGTCACTCACTTGAGAATCAACTTCTCCCACGTGTGGAAACCAGCCTCCTTCAAGTTGGCTTCGGTTACAGCCTTCTTATCCACTGTTCTTCCTGTTAGGAACACAATCTTGAAGCCAAGAGACAACAGATTGTTGTAATTTTTAAGAGTCTGTGCCAGTGCCGGTGCCTCACCCTTCAGAACCCATGCATCGTACACAGTCGCATTATATGGATTCACCCTATAATAATACATAACTTTATTTCATTCCATATATAGCATGCATAATTGCTTATAGTATAAACGAAGAAGAAATTAAAGAGCATGCATATAAATATAAATATATATAATATACGTACCCATATCCATGTTTAGAATAATATGGGACATTAGACAGTACGGTTCCATCTACGCTGAAAATGAAAACGTCATTCTCATTCCTTTTGATGGATTTAGCAAAAAAATAAGCTTGTTGGTTAACATATTTGGAGTCTGAGTCATATTGATCTCCTTGGATGTAGCTTTCTACGTATTCTGCGCATTTTTGAGGAACAGTTTTCCAGTTAATATAGTTGTGTGCTTCCGCTGCAAGCCTCCAACTTGGGCACCATACCTCTGGAGGGTAGTGGACAGTGAGGCCATCAGATCTCAATTCCAGAGGGTAAAATTCGTATTCTGAGCCATGGCACTGTGATGCTACCAAAATTGTAGCAACAGCCAAAACAACTGCCTTCATATTCATCGATCTCTTCTTCTTCTCACAACTCACAACTAACTTTTGCTGCTTCCTTCTCCAAGCTTTGCCTCTTTAAATAGATATATACACAACACCTCCTAGCTCGCTAAAGGGTCAATTTTTTTTTACGCCCTGCTAGTATATTTTTTCTTTTATGTGAGCAAGAGAAACTCTTTTTAAGAGATAAAGCAAACACTAATCAATTGTAAAAATATCAATGTTGATATTGTATGTGTAGTAAATATTGAATCTAATAAAATATTGGAGTTTCCAAATTTAAAGTTTAGAGTTTAAGTTGATTGCAAGAATAGTAATAATGTGATAGTGACAATACTTATAAAAAAATGAGTAAGTAAAAGAAATTTAAAAGATTAATTTGATAAGTAAGTGACTTTTATTTTCTCGTAAAATATTGAATTTAATAACTTTTATTTATGTTATATTAAAGGAGTCAAATTCAAAAAATTATATTATTATTTAATTATAAATTATTATATGTGATTAAATAATTAGCCTTTTCATAATTATTTTATAAATTAGATTTTTTTCTACAAATTAAACATGCTTTATGCCCAGCAATCATATATATATATATATATATATATATATATATATTTATTTATT